CCTTTTTTGCAGTAATGGAACTGAGGCCTGGAGCCTGTGGGCCCTGCGTCTGCCCCGGCGGGGCTGGGCTGGGTGCAGTGCGTCTCTCATCTCTCCTCTCTCGTAGGCTAGAGGCAGGTCTTGGCTCTGGTTTACCTTTGCCCTTGGCCTCATCCCTTCAAATCTCCTAAGCCCCGTTCTGCAGAGCATGAAACTCTCCGTACTCAGGATTTAGCTTAAAGCACGGCACTAAAATGACAAGCTGTAGTTACATGGGTTCTGAAATTTTAGCCAGAGAGTGAATGTTTTTGGAAACGAGAAACAATAAATAAATGTTTAAATGTAGTTGCAAAAGTAGCATTTGCTGAACATAAGATATAAAAATCACATCCCTTAACAGCTTTATGCCCCCCAGACTGGCTCTTAGGGTAAGAAAACAGCTCATGGTCACTGTTCTCAGGGGTGCCTCGGAGGGGGGGGCTGCCCTGTCTCTCGCAGATGGGGCAGGCCTTCCTGCATCTGGCCCAGTCCCACCTCTCTCTGGGTGTTCGCCTTCCCGCTCAGGGTGACCCCGAGCAGAGTAAGGAACACCAGGTCGAATGCCAGATCACATGGGGGCAGTGAGTGCAGCCAGCGGCCCGGGAGCGCAGCAGACACCTCCTGAAGACCCTGCTAGTGCCGCCAGGGTCCGCGTTCTGTCCTCGCTGCAGGAGGGCTTCACTCTTCCCCAGGTTTAATGAGAAAAGAAAAGTGGGCTTGACAACAGCCAGGCCCCCTGGGACAACCGAACTCGACGGGGAAGGCATAGAAGCGGGCTGGTGTGGGGCGCTTGCTGGATGGGGAGGAGAGCTCCTGTTTGCAGGAGGCAGAGAAGGGCTGAGGCGCTTCCGGTGCAGGGTAAATATGACAGCCAAGGCTTGTTCGTTTCTCAAGATTAATTTTGTAATTAATTAGAATAATTACCTTTTTAGCTCTCTAGGTTAATTACACTTACTTGCTTATGCAAGAAGAAGTAATATTCTAACAGAAAACTTACTGAGTGGTAGGACATTTTTATGAAAGCACTTTGCCTGTGTGGGTCATTTACAACTCATATCAATACTGTGAAATAAACACTGCCGTATTTAGTCCATAGAGAGGGACTGTGATGATAAGCCGATTGTTTCAACAACACAAGGCTAAGCTGTGCTTCTGGGTCTGATTCTGTTTCTGTCTTTGCAAGAATAATACTTTATGTCATGGTTACAGAGTGCAGGCCCGCAGGGGATCTACTTGGTTGCTGCAGCGATTCATGAGACCGTCCCTGCAGCCCGCTGCCATCGCTGGCAATGCCAGTTTTTCCCCAGCCGCACCAGGGTCTCAGAAGCAGAACCTGAGATCAGGATCTGAGTGCTTTTGAAGGGAACATCCTGACACCAGCAGGACACAGCAAGGCGGGCAAGGGACAAGAGGTTATAAAGGCTGCGGGCGCCATCAGGTTTCCATGGCTAGTGGAGCCGCCGGCTGGAGCCTCGTGGAGATGGCCGGGACAGCGAGAGCTGCAGCACAGCAGGCTGCCCTGCCCACTGGCCAGAGCAGAGCGTCCAATGGGGACAGGAGGGACTTGACTTGTGCTGAGGGGATGTGGAGGGAGGGGATCGGACAGCTGGGTGGCAGTGGCATCTGCCCCGGCCAACTAGTGTAAAGTTATGCAAACCCACCTTATCACATACCTTTGGTCTTGTAGTCCGGGGGAATGTCTCATATCTTTACATTTATTTGAATGAATGATTTGTAATGGTTGCCTAGCACCTTGTATAGATGGGCTACAGCTTATTAACCGATTCTAACTCTGTCCGCATGGATACTTCCATGCACAACTGTGACCTCTCTTGCTTATTAATTGTTAGTGTAAAATGTTGGCTGTCCTCTGGCGGGCTCGCTATAGCTCTACCATGTGAGCTCACGCGAGGAATGCTACCTCACCACCTGAAAGGGAGGGCTACAAATGGAGGCCAGGCCACCCTCCTCCCAGTTACCACGAAAGAGAGGAGACGTGAGTTCAGCGCCACTTGCTGACTTTGATCATAAAAGGCAGGCCAGGTGGTAACCGTTTCATGTCCACAATGAAATGACGTGTGGCTGAAAGTCAGCTCTCTTGGATACGAGTTGGGAGCGCACACGCATGGGGCTGACGCTCTGCTGGCATGCTTACTGCGAGCAGCACTCGAGTATTCTGTTAATTATCTGGGATTTCCTAGTTGAGGTTTTCTTCAGACCTGAAACATCTGTCTGATACTTACGCAGTTTCTTCTGATCTGTCAGGTAGTAATCGCTGCTTTTGTGCAAGTGGCCCGGTATTGGGCGGCTTGTCTCCCTTGTGTTTGCACCAAGCTGAACAGGGAAATGCCGCCGAATATTGCTGCTTTATGTCTAGGATTGTGGCCCAATCCTCGGCACATGAAGTCCTGTGAGAAAACAGCTTTCGGGTCTTTCCGTCATCAGCATCTCGATGACCCCACTTCTTCCACAGCTCCTGCCTTTCTGATCTCTGGGGCAGTTTATAGCTCACTCCTGAGGTCTCCTCAGTGGGGCACAGTGCAGCATTTTAAAGCTGAAGGGGAAGCTCTTGTGGGACCGAGGCCCTGGAGTGTGGGATACACACCGAGCATTCCCGGAAGGAGGGTGTATGCGGTTCTGTGGAAGGAGGCAACGTGGTTCTGACTCCTGATTGTGCACAGAGGTGCTGTGCGGGCACTCTGAGCAGAGGCACAAGCTCACTCGCTACAACACAGGGCTCAAGGTTGCTTCCCGGGGACCTGGAGTTCCCAGAAGACACCACCCAGGCGGCCGGTGGGGGCTGGGCTGTGTGTGAGACCAAGAGGGCCAGAGACCAGGAGGGACCTGCAAGCAGTGGCCGGTCCTCCTGGTGTCTTTGTACCGGGGCTCCCCAGAAAGATACAGTTGAAAAAAAAAAATAGCTGCGCTACTGAAAAGCAATAGCTGAGTATCTTTATTTCAAAATGCAAGCAAAAATCTATTAAATGAGTGGGCTGCTTTGTTTATAGGCTGCAATAAACATTTTTATCTAATTTTTCTAGTTTGCCTTTATTGAGCCAATCCTAAGATTGTAGTCTTGGGAAGAAAGAAAGGAAGCGCTGTGGTGGAAGCTTCAGCTGAAGAGCCACCTCTAACTGCAGCTTAGCCAAGGACTGCGTGGCCTTGGGGCTCAGCTGCTGTCTGCTCTCCAGGCAGCTCCGGTGCTGATCCAGGTGCTGCTCCTTGGTGGCTGTCCTCTGGCTTCAGAGAAAGACCAGGCGTGCTTGGAGGCAATGATACCGTGTTCAGGGTCCTGGCGCCCTTCACATCTCGCAGGATTCACTTTGGGTTTACTCTGTGTCCCGTGGGAAAGCCTTACAGAGGCGATGCAGAGCTTCTGGCTTCATGTATGATGTCACTGAGCATCCCAGCCCTGTTGCCTGGCGGCTGGGCGGCTTAGCGCTGGTGTGCAAGGGTGGGTAGATGAGGGTTTGATCTGACCACACTTACCCAGAAGCCCAGGGCTCCATCTAGAACTTTCCAAAGCGCGGAGCCCCTCCATGCCCATGTCCACCCGCACAGCACAGTGCTCTTTACCCAACTGCCAAGGCCGGTGTGCTTACTGTGTGAGTTTGTGCTCTTACTAGGTAGGAGACCACTGACAAGAGTGCCAGGAACTTTTGTCAGTTCTTCTCTTGAAAACTGGTCAGAGTATCAGTAAAAGTGTTTTTTCCTGCGATTCATCAGTGGAGATGCCTTTGCTTTAGGCTAGGAAGAGCTCACTAAAACAATGTATTAAAGGTTTATTTCAGGAGAAGCAAATTTCCCAGATATATAGTGGAAAAAGTTTCTGTAGTCAAATGAGTTAGGAAACCCTGTCTGCCTATTGGTGATTCTAAGTCTGCCCTGGAAAGACGGACGGCACGCGAGGAGGGCATGTCTTGCATTAGTTTGGTCCTGATTTTAAATTCCCTTCTTTCATCCCCACTTTCTTTTTCTTCCTCTTCCTCCTTTTTTTCTCCTTCTTTTTTCCGTTTTACTGATATTAGTTATTTAAGACTCCATGAAAATATTTTTGGAAAACCCTGAATTTAAACCTGTTTAAAAGTTCGTAAAGGCCAATTTAAATTTTTCTGCAACTCCAGAGTCAGGACCGTGCATGGTACAAACCAAATACTCAGTGGGCGTGAACGGGAAAGTACAGTACATTGATAGGAAACCAAAATAATATGTGGAAAGTTCATTTTGAAAATCACACCAATTACTTGGCAAATGTAGGAGAGTTTTATAGAAATAAACTATGTTGACATTAAATTCCACAAATCTGTCTCAGGCCTGTGGCTCAGAATCACACGAGGGAAGGCTGGGGGTGAATCTCGGAAGACACCTAACTGTCATTTAGTGTGCAGGACAGACACGGACACGGCGTTGGCTTTTGTAGGTGTCAAAGTTATTTGCAGCAATTCAAGTACATCAACAGAGGTCCGAGCTCTGGCCCATGCCGGGTGGGCAGGCAGCCCGAGCGCCTCACATCAGCAGAGGGCTGTGGGCACAGTGTGGGCCTGGGCTTCCGCCCAAGTACACGGTGACGTACGGTGCAGCCGTCAGAGGGCCACTGTGAGGACTTGACAGGGTCAGGCCAGCAGTCTAGAGGGAATGTGGGAAGCCTTAGGGGCTGGGATGCTGGCCTTGGGGGAGACTGCACCACGGGGCCTCCCTGTGGATAGTGGTCACCCAGTGATCACCCACTGCACTGCCCAGTCATGGGTGGCATTCTAAGGGCGTTTTGTTTTTATTTGTGGGGACATCAGTTGTGGCTCCAGGTGCACCTCACAGATCCCCCTACCGTGTGGTGGGGATGCTCTGCAAATCATGTTACTGAGAGCAGAAGCCTTCTGTTTGGGAAACCAGGAACCCCTAAAACCTGCATTTTCCACAAAAAGCCACGGACGGAAGGGTACGCGCTTTGCGCAGGGTTGGGGGCAGGAACCGCCGGGCCCTACCTGAAGGGATAGGCGAAGGCTATGTCGATGCTGAGGTTACTTTCCGTCTTGTTGACACAGTCCACACTCAGCCGCAGGCCTCCGGAGTAGCCACCGCATGTTGCAAAAGCAAAGATTGCAAAAAGCTGTGCAGAGCAAAAGGAACAGAGAAGGCGCTGTTAGGGTCGCGATGGCCTGAAGAGCTTCCCAAGCCCCTGTGTGGGTCCCGGAGGCTGCAAGCCCGCGGGAGAGCCGCGCCTCAGGCTGGAGGAGCAGAGCACCAGCAGTCACCGAGAAGGGGCCCAGCCTGTGAGCTAGAGAGCCACTGCCTGCAGCCATTCGCGAAAGGACTAACTGCAAGCGCACGTGAGGGGCTGTCGGGCCGCAGCGTGGGGAGACACAATCTCATAGCTTATGCCCAGAAAGCAACCCCTCACTGGGTCACCAGTGATGGCTCCTGAGGCACCTCTCAGCCTTCTTTTAGTGTGACTGCATTTTGAGGGAATAAGCACGATTTCTCTTTTGCAGCGATGCAGGTAACTTTTAAAAGCTGCAGTCAGAAGTCGAGAGCTAATGAGCTCCAGCCCGAGATGTGGTTGCCCGAGAGGTGGCGTCACAGCGTGGGGGCGCTCAGCGGCGCACGTGTCTAGGCTTCAGCTCCCAGCTGTGCGGCCTGCACTTTCTGTGTCAGCCACGGCAAGTTTCAGCTGGTTATGCCTTGGCGTCACAAAAGGCAGATGCTGGTGTGGCATGTGAACCTGGGTGGGCTCAGGCACCGGAAATGGGGAGCAGGGATTCAGAGAGGAAGGAAGGTAGGGAAGGCCAAGACAGGAAGCAGGCAGGTGGCTAGCTTGTGCACTTTGCTGTTCAGCTAAATTCAGAAGAATTTCCTACTTATTGCCCAAGAAAGTCAGTCAAACTCTCCTGACACCCAGACATTTCCCTGTGTATCGTGTGGGCCTTATTTTCAGTGTAGCACCTAGCTTCTCATGGTAGCTCGAGGCCCCCGCTCAGGAACGCGTGCTTACTCCGCACAGGGAGAACAGTTATGGTGCAGAGGCCGAGGGCCTGCTGCGCGACTGTGGGGAGTCGCCTCGTTGCCCTGTGCTTTGGTCTCCTCTCCACTGCAACAGCATGGATTATGACTCTCCAGGGCCACTTCGCTCTTTGTAGTACGAGACAGACAGTTGCTGTGGGGAGAGGGGCTGCTGGAGTGGGCAGGATCAGTGTGTCCAAAGGTGCAGAAGCTGCGACAGACACCGTCTCTGCCACCTGCCACCCGGACAGGCAGGGTAAACACCTCCTCAGGATTGTTTGCCAGAAAAAGATGCGATAATCTTAGCAAGCGATTGGTGAAATCTTTTCCGGAACAGTGATGCTTTATAGACCATTTGCTCTGTGTGTGTGTGTGTGTGTGTGTGTGTGTGTGTGCGCGCGCGTGCGTGTGCGCACATGCACATTTATTATCTTTTCAAATCAATAATTTGTAGACGGAAGCAACTTGACCCAATGATATCATGGATGCGGTAAGAGCAGAACGCGCTCACGTGTGCTAACGAGCGTGCCTCACTGGGATTCTAGCACGGTGCAAGCTCTCAGTGCTAATAACCGTCATTACTGTACACAGTAGATGCTCCTAGACAGACTGACCTGAGGCATCCGGGAGGGAATTTAGGTGATTCGCTCGCCAGATCTGCACAGAGCTCCTCCAGCGAGAACACGGGACTCGGCTCGGTGCTGAGCCAAGTGAGCCAACACATGGATCCTTCACACTCGGTTTGCTTTCTTCGCAGTTTTCCTAAGCAGAAGGGCGGGAGACGTCTGCCAGCCATCCCAGCCCCTGCATAGTCTGCAGCAAAGCCGGGGCTGAGGCGGACCCAGCCCTTGGGGCTGGTGTGGACCTGCTCGCTTTTCCTACTCAGATGCTCCCCTCGTGTTGCTTCCTCGTGCTGCTAGGAGTGCGGGGCAGTGGCAGTAATTGTCCATCGCTCAGATCTGGACTTTAAGGCATGGTCGTGCATGTCCCAGCCCCTGTGCCACGTTCAGGTTTTGGTAATGTTTGTTGTAGCAGAAGGAACCGAGTCCTGGGGTCCACAGCCCCAAGGAGGCAGCTCTTGCTTTCTTAGTTTCCTCATCTGTAGGACAAGTATGTCCTCCGTGTTTCTCCAAGTTGCTGAGAGAATTGATGAGCGGGGCGCATTTGTGCACCGTCCTCTTCCAGTCTTTGATGCGTGTTGGTCACTCTATGTGTGCACTTGTGTGGGACAAGAGTTGCAGGTGTGAAAGGTGTGCAAGCAGCAGGTGAATATGCCAGGTGGGAAGCCTTGTCCACTGCGGCCGCCTTACGGCACCTGCCTGGCCACAGTTCGTACCACACTTGACACAAGTGCTCAGCTTTCCTCATGACATGGGATGTGCGTGCGTGCGTGCATGTGTGTGTGTGTGTGTGTGTGTGTGTGTGTGCCTGCGAAGCTTGATGCTCCTATATTAAAGATGCGGCAGAGTAGCATAGTCACTTCAAAACATTTCATGTAAAACATTTCTTTAGATATTAAAATGCGGTAAGTTAAAATTGAAGGATTTGAAACAAATCTTCATTTCAGAGCTTGACAACTATAACGCAACAGCTTGGCTTTTCACCCTATGTAAAGCACATTATTTACGGAAAGGTGTTATCAATACCGCCGTGGATGAACTTGAGATGGAATGATAATGCTGTATTTATTTAAGGAGTTCAAAGTGTTAGGTGCCAGAAAGGAGGTCCCCAGATTATTAAAATCGCACACACGACTGCTCTGCCCTCAGCCATGCCTGAGCGCTGACACCCCGAGTGCTGTGCCCCCGCTCTACGTGGTACCTGTGGTGCTCTGGGGGTTGCTCCCTCACAGGCCTTCCTGATTAAAGGGAGCCAGACTGTGTGGCCAGGACGGAGTCCACGCGGGGTTCATGTGGGGCTGGTGAGGCGGACGCTGGTAATGTCTGCGTCACGCCGGAGAGTCAGCGCCTGCTGAGTGAAAGCCTTACAACAGGACGGTTGATTCCATACGTGAGGCAGCGAAATCAGCCCCTGGGAGGACAGCAGCCAGGGTGGGCTTCCGTAATTAGAATGCAGGGAGACCCGTGAGGAGGAGGCAGGGCTGGGAGCTGCAGAGGGGCGGAGGGAGGCTCCTGGCCGGCACAGAAGTGCAGAGGAGAAGCGCCATGACACTGCCTGCGCCCCCCCCCACCACAGCTCCACCTGGAGAGCCCCCAGCCTCCCCCTCAGCTCCCCACCCAGGCCCAGGCAGATCTGAGTGTGAGCCAGATTCTACGTGTCTGTGTGACCCTGCACAAGTCACTCTGCCGCTCCAGCCCTCGCCCTGCACGTCTGAGGGCTCCAGGCTAACCTGCAGTCACTCTGTGGATGCGTGCCTGTGCCCTCCTATGTGCCAGCTGCTGGGGCACAGGAGTTTAAGGAGGAGGTCAGAGGAAAGACAAAGGCAACCGAGTTTCCTGCTCAGCAGGAGCTTCATGCTGGACAGGGGAGAGAGAATTAAAAAGACCGTAGAAATAAAATAATTACAAATTGCACGAGGTATTTGAAGGGGAGAGTACTGCACACTGAAAATTATGCCTGAGGGTGCCAAACATGGGGGAGGAAGCTCTCTGGACAAAGATGCAGCCTTGCGATAGTCCTCAGGGAGGGAAAGCCTGACAATTCAGGGAGCCACCAGCAGGCCAGGGTCACAGTAGGATAGTGAATGCTGTTGAGAATAAAACTATCTAACCTCACATGACTGCTGTGCACATACTCCAGTGTTGAGGCATTAGGCTCACAGCCCCCAGTAAGTGCTCACAGAGCTTCCCCTTCTTTACCTGCATCCTCCTTTCTTCTCCTCCCCTTTCCTCCTCTCCCTCCCCCTCCTTTTCTCCTGCCTCCCTTTCTTCCCCTCCTCCTCCTCCTCCTCTTCCTCCTCCTCCTCCTCTTCCCTGTCTCATCCTACCAACACTCCTGCAACTCTAGCTGCTACGTTGGAGACACGAGAGTGGAGAGGAAAACACTCATCTCAGCTCAGTTGGACAGGGACTCCGGCATCCAGACCCTGAGCCAGTGCTCCAGTTTGCTCTCAAATTGCAAAAAAGCAAAATGTTTTTGCCAGGTGAGCAAAGTGGACCCCTGCACCTCACTGCCAGAGAGAGAGAGCTTCGTCCTCTTTCTCATGCATCCCCTTCTCCTTCCTTCTCTCCCTTCCTCACTTCACCCTTGATGGGGTGGAAACATCTAGGAGGACTTTGGGAGATGCTCTGAAGAGACAAGGCCTGTCTTACCCTGCTGGCTGATGCCCTGTGGTGTCCCTGGTGCCAGCCAGAGAAGGCTGGAGGATCCTGTGCATCTGGATTTCACATGCTAGCACCAGTCCTGCTGGCTGACAAGTCCCTTCCTGGGAGACAGGAAGGGCGGGGACACCTGCCTGTTAGCAGCCAAGAGAAAGTGAGAACTGGATGTGACTCCTGGAAGGCTCAGGAGGGAAGCGCTGGGGGCCTGGGTGGGCTAGCAAGAGGGAGGAGAGAGCAGTGAGCTGCATCTGCGGCTGAGGCTGGCCGCCTGATGCTGATCTAACGAGTGTGTGTGTGTGTGTGTGTGTGTGTGTGTGTGTGTGTTGTTTTTCTCCAAGCTCTGGGCCCACCGCATCTATCCTCACCACCCAGTGCTTTGCTTTCTGGACACTGAGGGTATGACCTGGGGCAGAAGTGCGCTTGCTCATTCAAGTGGAATTTGACCTCCTGCACCTTGCCGCCCTTCCTCAGGCTCCCAATTCCCCTGAAGCGAAGCAGGTCCTTTATTCTCTCACACATTCTAAGGTAATCAGTGTAGAAACCTGGAGCCCAACTGTTCACCTCCCTTGAGGGCCGGAGACCAAAATAAATCCACAGCTATCTCTCCCTTCACTGCTGTCTTGGGCGATCAATGGCTTTGCTCCTGACAGCGAAGCATTTCTCTTAGAATGGGTAAAATTATCCAACAGGGAGTTCCTTTGTTTGTAGTCTGATTAGAAATACACTCAGATAAAAGAGAATGGAAATTTTCTGCATTTTCATAAAGCATAATCATGTCCAGCAGGAATGAGACTTTGTACAGTTAACAGCACCAATGATTTTTCCCTGG